AAAATAAATAAAAAATAGTTTAAAAAAAAAAATCCTGGCGGCAGGGTGCTGGGTGACATCAAACGCCTGTTGGGGGGGCACGTTTTTTTTCTTGCCTCGGGCGCAAAAGGAGCTAGCTACGGCTATGCTTCCGTGGTGCTCATGTGGCTGCCAGCTGAATGTGTTAGGCGCCGCAGACGGAAAGGGGCAGGACACCTCCACTCCCCGTGTGCAACGTCGGCCACATTTGGCCACACGAGCACCGCGGGAGGTCAGGACGCAGGCGTGTCTGGAACGCACAGGAATGCAAGCCAGCCGACTCCCTGCGTTCAGGGGCAGGAGGGAGCGTGGGGTTGTATTGAAGTCAATTGCACCGCAGCCATGCCCCCCGCCCACGGTGCGATCGCCTGCCTGCATTCCGGTCCAGTGCAATCTGCAAAAATAGTGCTTGCAGCATTTTTGCAGATCGCACTGGACCGGAACGCAGGCACTAATGTTCCTGCGTTCCGGGTGCGGGTGATCGCACTGCGGATGAGGGGCATGTGTTAATTAAAGCATACCAAACGCATAGACACCAAAAAAATCTATGAATTTCAATGGATGTGTTTGGTGTGCGTTTATTGACACATCCAGTAAATTCATGGAAAGGAAAGAGAAGAAGAGGAGAGAGAAAAAATTAAATAAAACATGAATGTCTTTATATGTTTTTGCATGTGTCTACATGCGTTTATGCTGCACTGACCTTTTTTTTATTTGCAGAATGGTGGGAACTACATCCATTGACATTTGTTGATTTCTGCTGTCGATATGTTTGGTACAGGGTTAACACATTCAAGCGCATTGGGTGTGAATGGGCCCTAAGTATTTAACCCTTTGTTTTCCAACTTCTGCTCTCAAACTAGTCTGTGGACCAGCATTTGCGGGTTTATATTTTTAATTTTGATCTTGTGAAGCATTTTCTGTGCTGCATGGGTTCACTTTGTTTGAGGGGATTACTCCTACGCCTACCATTTTGGAGGTTGGGAGCGTATAAGACTTTATACGTGCAAATTTATTTTAGCTACATGACAAAGGCCCAGTGTTTGTGATGAAACGTGTAAACTGTTTTGCTATTTTTATGCCAAATTAAAATAAAATGATATTTGGAGAAGATCCCCATCCATGTGCTCATGTTTTAGCATCACAATCTATGTATGCTGCACCAGGTGCGGCCAAGATGCACTTAATTCTTACCCAATAAAAACAAACTGCCACTGGAGGATATGGCCAATCAAAAAATAGCAGCCTTGCCGTGCAGCCAATAAGCAAGCAGCCTTTGATTTAAGTACTGGTGGGTTAGCAGGTATATGTGGATGTTGATTAGAGGAGAGTTGTGAAAGCTTCCTAGGTAAGGTAGAGGATGGAGGTTAGGTCCTAAGGTGTTTGTGGTAGGTGATGTGATTGGGTTTAGTCCTTAGAGCAGTGATTGAGGTGAAGGGAGGATAGAGGTCCAGGCCTGTCTGGTGGTGGTTGCCATCACACGGGGGTGTGCTGTAGCTGGTGCATATTAAAGAATGTCAATCTCTTCCCCCCAAGTTGAGTTGCTTTTAACGCCCTCTTTATTTGTGTGCTGGGTTGAACTCAGATGGCATACTCACCTGCCTAGTGAATCCAGTATTCTGTGATTTTGCTGCATGCCAGGTCCAATGCTGCAATCTTGGGGGAAGTTCTGGGGTAGACATGGATTCCACCTGGATACCGTGAACCTGCCAGAGACTGGTAGTATGTCTGTGTGTGCTCTGGATCTGCTGCACATGTGCAGACTGCAGTTTATCCTGGCAGAGACCCATGGTGGTTGGCATATTTGTGGGTATCTGTCCAATCTTTGGGATCTATGTTATGTTATGTAGATGGTGAAGATTGAGTAAACTAAAAATAGACAATTTTGTAAATCTGGACCCCCCAGTTGTCAATGGTAACCAATTATCTATCTTTCATTTTTAAAGCTTAACTGGACAGAAGCTCATTTCCATGGGAAGCTGCTCCAGTTTCTGTTTATTCCAGTTTTGATTTACAAACCCCCACCAGCAGTGTTTCCACTTTGCAGCCTGATTGAGAACACCACCTTTTAAATTTGTTAAATGTTCCCATTCACATAGCATACAGCGTGTAATATGTAAATTGGGTTGTACTTTTTTTTTTCTCTCCTTTAATGTAAGGGAGGCTGGGTAGGTTGATGGCATAGTTAATCATGTCCTAACAATTGGTTGAAGGGGTAAGTTTATTTTGCAACCATGTTTTTACCTATTTTTAGGGTGTAATGTGTCACAGGATCTGTGAATGGAGGGACACAGCAGCAGAGGGATTTGTAGTTCTCAAGTTCTCAATGGACTACAAGTGTGGTTGTCCCAATGCTTGTAGTTCATATTTACTATCTCTTAGCTGAGTCCATACCTCAGTGCAGGCTGGGAGAAAGGAGTCTGCAGGAGCCAAAGCATTACACCTGTGAACCAATGCTCTGTAGGCTCAAATGCATAGGAGTGTCACTCCTCCAAAGAGCTAGCAGAATTGTACTATGTCAATGAGAGGAAGCTCCGTATGTCCTTAGTCTTATGGGGCAGCCAGTGTTTCTGGTCATTTGGAAAGGAAACTTAGAGAAGCTTGCAAAGACCTACTATAGATCTGAAAGGTAAATGTTTTTACATGTGCTGTGTGAATGGGAACACTTACTCATAGTGAGGGTTCTCCTAAATGTCTGCAAAATTGGAGATGTGCTTTAAATCTAAAGACTGCAGTTGATCCAACACAATTCAGTGCACAGGCCTTCCAGGTTAGCAGAAAACTGAGTGGCACCATGTGGTTCATGGAAGGTACTATGAGAATTGCTTGTGCAGCCTGGTTGCATGGAAGGTTACTGCTATGAAAAGGAGGTTATTAGATGTTTATTTTTCATAAACTATGCTTGTGAAACATGTCCTAACTTCTTGCAATTACATCACAGTTCTAAATTTAGTGCAGCATGGCAACTGTGGTATTTGTTGACCAAGAAAATGGAGACTTTCCTTCTACCACCCTGTTCAAGGGTCAACTTAAACAAGCTAACTCTGGTGAGTATTCTAGTAGCCTATGGTCTGTTTGGCAGCCTACTGGCACAAGGTACTGGATTTTTGCAAGTACTGTTGTTTTTTTAAACCAGTCATTGCTCCAGTGTAAAGTGGTGATGCTTTGTTTTAAAGTAACTGGTTTCCTGCACAGGGTATGATTTAAAGATCATGCTCTTGTTGCCACATTGCTGCATCAGTCTTCCCTGAGTATATCCTGGTGGTGATTACTCGGCTGGGTCTCTAACATCCTTTTATCAATGTCTAACTGGCTGGGCAGTCCTGAGTACTGTAGCAAGGCAGAGGTCATATGCTGTGCACATAGCCTAACCCCACTGGGAGTGTAGACTCTGCTGGCCTAGCTTGGGGTTGCTGCATCTGGGGTTGCTGTGCTGGGGTTGCAGGAAGGGCTGGAGAGTCTCTGCTGGCCCTGCTTCATACAGTGGCTGCACATGTCCCCATGCTGCAGTATCACCCACATGGCTGTAACGACCAAGGAGCAAAGACTTAACTGGCCCTGCTCTCTACTAGGGTACTGTATAGCAGCAGCTGCCATCTTGAATATGGTCAGCTGCCTTTTTAAAGCTCACCTTTACATTCAAAAATTTCTGGGGTTGCAGGAAGGGCTGGAGAGTCTCTGCTGGCCCTGCTTCATACAGTACAGAATTCTACCTGCATCCCTCTATGTATAGTTAATAAAATAACATGGACATGTCGGGTGTAAAATGCTGTAATCTTGAAATATTTTGCAGCGCATTCACTTGCTGTGTTGAAAGGGCAAAATGACAAGTGTGCCAAAGCAATGCACACTAGGATTGCCTTGTAATCAGTGGAGAATTTCTGGGAATTCTAATCTGTAATCTCACGGAAAGGCATCTTCCTCCCCGACATGTGCATGGTCACATGTGCCAGAAATCCAAGACGTAAGGGCTAGTAATATGCCCTTATTTAACATAGCCACTGCCAGAAGATTGGGGAAGAAAAGAAAACTTTAGCTATACAAAGCCTGTAATTTAGTGTGTGGTCATTGCTAATTTCTAAAGGTGTGGCGTTTAAAGATGGGGGTAAAGGTCCACTTTAAGCTCTGGGTCACCTCTGATATCTAGGGTGCATGGGAGGGGGTGGTCTTTTGCTTGGCATGACAGCATATGACTCACGGCTCCCATCCTTTCTGCCTACAATGTAGCAGTGATCCAGTACTTGTTGGGGGCATGGGTTTTGTCAGTGGTTCTAGCTTTCTGTTGGACCCACCCTCTATGGACACTGCTTTGGTATGTGACATGGCCAATCTTTAGATCTTGACCAATATACGGAAGAGAAAATGGGATCCGTGTACTCGCTCTCCATTCCTTGAAGGACACAGCATCTGCTTTCATGTTTGCTTGTCTGCTGCTTGCTACAGAGTCATTTGTTCCCCCCAGGGTGTCTGGCCACCAACAGTGTGCTCAACCCACGTGCACTGGAGTGTCTTTGTGGACCGTAATGTGGGTCATACCAAAAGGAAACTAGCAGTTGGATCATCTGTGCATATCTGATTTCAATAAACCAGGTTTCTTGCCACTTTCATAATGATCCTATAGTTGAAGTTTTATGGAAATGGCACTATATACATTGGAGGAGTTCAGCTATGAAAGGTTTCTATTTTATTTTTTTTGCCTACACAGGAGTTTGGTTTGTGGTCTGCAATAAAGAGGTAATAACTTTGGGAGTGGTCAGTAATTATAACAGACCCTACTATGTATGCCACCTGGGGCTTGAGGGGTAGGGGGGCTTTGGGTAGGGTGCCGAGTGCTTTGTGGGATGGGTGGCTTTTAGAGCTGTGCTGTTGGTCCCACCCAGCTCACTGACATCACTAGTTGCCTGGTGGGATGCCTGCCAGTGTCTCACTCGGCTCCCTGGCTCTAACTGGGGTTTGCCCACCCCTGCTCAACAGTCCCTTAAGTCTGTAGCAGAAGGTCAAGTGCAGATTTTTGTGTAACTTTTCTTATTTATCCCCCACCCTTGTAAAGCAGATCACCTTTTCAAAAGTCGTCCAGGAAAAGTGTTTGGCAGCTCTGGAACTGTGGTGAAGCCAAGAAAAGCTCTGGGAAATGTCAACAAGCAAGTTGTCCAAACAGCTGCTCCATTCCAGAAAAGTGCCCTTAAAGTGAACAAATCTGCACCAGTTACCAAGCAGGTACTATTGTCCTGTGAATCGAGGGACCAGTCCTATTGAGACATAATTTACTGGAGACTCTGTAAAGCTGGCCATAAGCCTATAGAATTTCTATGTCTCTATCCGCCTATGGTCAGATGGAAAGTTTAACAGATTCCTCCATCTACATTAAACTGTGTGGATGGCGGAAAAGGCCAAGTTTCAGTATCTTTCTAGTCGGCCCTGCTGGCTCTCCAAATACATGAACAATCTGATTGGATGCAGGCATTGTTCAGGTATTTGGAGATGGGGCCGACTAGCAAGATACTGAAGCTTGGCCCAATGGGAGATTACTCTTTCCACAGTCTAGTATAGATGGAGAAATCTGTTGCACTTTTTCCATTTGACCATAGAAAATCTGCAGATAATCTATAGGGGTATGGCCAGCTTATGGCTTTTTTTGCCCTTAGATATCCAGTCTGACAATGGTGTGGATAGATCTCTAAACTGGGATCAACAACCATGCCAGTAGTCTAACTTTTCCCACACTTTATAACACAAAGGTATTTTCCTGGAAATGTTCCTAAATGACTGGGGAATAGTGGGTGTAGCCAGATTGTGAGTTTAAAGTTTAGTCATAACTAAAATGTGCCTTTATAGTCTTTGAAACTCATCTCCTGCCTGCAATGTGACCAACTGTGCCTCAACATGTGGTACTGCATGTGCATCCTCTACATTTTTCAATTGCAGTACCATGCATTGCAGGTAGGTGCATTTTGGGTGCCATTCACATGAATGGCAACGCACCTCATACAATGTTAATGCACAGTAGGTGCATTGTGCAGAACAATGCACTTTAATGCACAAGCCTGATGTGAACAGGCCCTTTTTAAATTGTTGCTTGCACAATACATGCTCTATTCTGAAGTTATCTCTACTGAATCTTGCTCTAGAATGAGACTGAGCAGGCTACTAACTTAATTAACCCTGCCTGTACTGTGCTGGAAGATCTCATTAGTTGTAAACTAGATGTGAACAATGCCTGTCCTAACAGGTTCATCTAGAAGAATCATGTTGAACTATGGGACTTCCTTTTTGCCTATAGTTCTCCTCATGGTCACGGGAGGACAGATACTGTGCCCTCCAGTGACCCAAAACTCAGCATATAGCAGGCTATTGCTATAGAGATTCACCCCACTGGGCTCCTGTCACCCCTCCTTTTTTGGTGGATGAGTGTTTTTCACTTGCTCCAAAATTATCCATTAAGGGGACGCTGTCTGTCCCTAGCCTTTCTATGTGGACAGCCAGAGTATCCTGTCACTTGGAAATTGAGAGAGGTTTGCAAAGGCCTGATAGAGACTGGGCCTGATTTACACTGTGCTGCCCTAAGGCGAGGTTCTTCAATGCGCTCCCCGCCAAACCACCAATGGAGAATGGGGTGGCAGGGTTTGTTTTTTCACCTAAAATGTTATTTATCCTAAATCTTGTTTTTACTTTATCACTTTTTTAAAGTTTTTTTACTCTAATTTTTGTATCCATTTTTAATTAGATTTTTTGCTTTACTGCTTCAAAACAGGTTTAGATGTATTTTAACACCTTCCCACCAGCCATAAACATGTGCAGCAGCAAGGTGGGTGGTTTTAAACACTGGACTGCTGCATACAGCCCACTAAGCTGATCTGTTTGTGTGCTTACTTGGCACTCCCAGCACAGTGACAAAACTGTCCCCAACATGTCACTTTGTTCAACTGGAAGTTGGGCTCCTGATCATGACTGCTGACAAAGCTTGTCTGGCTTAAAAAAAAAAAACTGGTAGGAGCTGGTAGCTTGGGGTTGGGATTAGTCTAATGTGTAAATGACTATAATAAAAAATGATGTGCACGCTAACAGTTCTTGATCAATTTCAGATTACTAAGGTCTGCATTAAGAATAGCAAACAGAGCTATCCTGAGATTGAGAAGTGTCTCCCTTACAATCCTGCAGGCAAGTGTTTGTTTATTGTATGTTTTAGGTTTACCCTTGATGGGTTTCTCTAAAGCTTGTTTTGTAACTCCTAGAGAAACTTTGTTTGAAGTTTTACCTTTTGGCTTTGAAACTTGAACTGGACAGATGACTTGCTGTGGTGTTATTGTCTTTTGTCTAGGGAAGCTAGATGGTCTGTGATTTGTCATTTTGCAAATCCTGCCTTGCTCAGTAATGAACAGGATCGTCTTGGTATAGCAGTCATGTATTTTTTTTTCTTTAGATTTTGAAGTCTTTGAAGTCCCAGAAGAGCACAAGCTGAGCCACCTTAACTTTTCTGGAATCCCCCTTATTGTGCATGGACATGAAGCTTCAACGTTTAATGCTTTGTTGGCCCTTGAGCCAGCTCCAATGGATATTCCAGTCTTTAGCTGGGAGTCAGGTTGGTTTCTAACCTTAATAGGACTTCATACTCATACTTGTGCACAATGCCCTGTGACCAGCTCTGCATTAGGGAACTAGAAATGCACACCATGAGTGTTCTAGTTCGGAACATGTCAAACTGACAAATTGGCTATGGTTCTAATAAAGTCAACTGGTGCAACTAAACTTGGTCTGGGCTAAATGACTAATCACAAGGTTTAAGTCTCTGCAGTTCAAGGATAACTACTTGGACTATGGTTAAGTAGGCAAAACAAACCAAGTGGTGCACATGCAGGTTTTTGTAATTTGCTTTCAAATGTTTGACTTTTATAGGCTCTGAATGCTAAGTGGATGTGTACACAAAGGGTGAGGGGTATATACCAAGCTAGTCTATGTAAACTCATTCTAGTGGCAGTACAGAGTGTCATAATGTAACTGGTTTTTCCAGGGCAGCATAGTGAAGATCACTAAACTAGCCAAGGTAAGTTAGATGGGGTCAGAAGCACTGATGGGTGGTTAAAAGCTGTTAAGGACAATTGTACTAAAGTATAGTTCTAATTTTATTTAATCTCATCCTGGTGGCAATGCTTTTGTACTGAACTATTCATTAATTTTGTCTCAATTACTAAACTTTTTTTTTTTCCCCAGACTTTTCAAGCGCACTTCCATCTTTCCTGGCAACCCTCAATGATTTCACACTTGACCTGCCCCTGATGGTGAACTGTTAGAATGGTTTTTAATTGTTCCTTATGGATTTTACTTTGTATGTACATGATTTTAAATAAATGTTGACCTAAACTAGAATGGCCTCCATGTGAACATTTTTTAATGGTTGGGGCGCTTGCAGCTCTGCTTTTGACTCTGCCCCATAACAGTGGTTATGACTGCCTGACACTTGACTCTGCCTAGGGCTGACACTTCTAAGACCATTTTATGACTTGTCTGGCACTTCCTGTGGCTCTGACATGGACTCTGCCTTTGGAACTAGAACTCTTTTTCTATAACCTATGGCACTGACCCTGCCCCACATGCAATGATATTTAAAGGCAGGCTGTTTACTTTGCAAGGAAAGCTCCCCTTGGCTGGCTGTGGTAAAATGTTACCTTGTAAAAAGAATATGCAATTAAGTGCAAAGAAACTAAAAACAAAGTCCTTGACTGTACAGGACAATTCAGACAGCTGAGTAATATGTAGGTATGGGGCAACTGTATGCTGGCTAGAGCTTTGAGGCCCCTCCTAAAATCCCTCCCTGGGGTCACGGGAGACTGTATTTTTTTAGATTTTATTTTTTCCCATCAAGATCTGGCTGTGTGCAGCTACCTTCCAGCTTCCACAAGAGGCAGCCCATGGAAGCCAATTCAGGGACTGTACATGGACCCCACTGGACTAGAGATGTGGGGGACAACCTGTAATGTCACTTTATGTCCTAGATACTTTGAGCACACTGGGTAGCCACAGGGTGATATGCAGGTCCAGGGTAATGGGGATCTGCAATTGTGTGATGCTGAGGTGGTTGTGAATACAGCTGGTGGGTGAGTCCTTGCCCTCCCAGAAATAGTCATTTTTGCAGGGCTGTCAATCACTCATTGCAGGCTCCATGAGCCTATGGCCCAAAGAAACCTCGTGTGAGATTTCTTGAAGGGTCTTGGTTCTGATGTTAACTCTCCCTCCTATATGCCAGGCCACAACTGTGCATTCTGGCAGCATAGGGAAAAGTGGGCTTTCGCCAACTGCCCCATGCATCTGTCAGCCAGGGGGATGATGGTGCTAGCTTGGCAAACTTCCACTACATTGTACAGTGACAGATGCCAGCCTGTTGATCTGGGGAGGTGTCCTCTGAACCTCAATAGACCTGGTCAGCAAAGGAATCCAGACAATCCAATGTTCAAGAGTTGAGAGCCATTTGTCTCCTGCATTGGAGGGATTACCTTCAGGCACTGCCGGTCAATGTTCAGTCCAATGCCCTGATTGTGTTGTACTCCAGCCATCAAGGAGGATTCATAAGCCACGCTGCACAAAGGGAAACTGATTTTGGTTTTGGGCAGAACTTGCATTCTGGCCTTGGCTGCAGTACACTTCCCAGGTGTGGACAACTGGCAGGTGGACTTCATCAGAAAACAGCTTGGACTTGAGTGTAGAGATCATGCCCACCCAAGTAGTTCAGGAGATCTGCTGCGGGTCACAGAAGTAGATCTCTCAGTGTCCAGACTGAACAACAAACTTGACAGGTTTAACTTGCTCCAGGGATCCAAGAGCATTTGCACTGCATATACTAGTGACACTGTGGGATCAGCTTTCCCTCGATTGAAGATTCTTGCCTGCTCCACAGGGTCAAAGCAGATGGCATTCCAGTGATCCTTGTGGCTCCGAACTAGCCCAGGGCAGTGATATATGGATATTGTCTGGGTTCTGGCAGACTTTCAAATCTGCTCTGTTGCTGGCCTTGAACCCTGGTGCTGAGGGAAGGAGGTCTGGACTTTTTACTTTCTTGCAGACAAGGCAGTCCACCTTAACAAGGTGCACCAGCATACCTGGAGGGCTTAGTTTGTCTGGTACAAAAATATAAGCGCTGGTTTTACCCTGTGGGATGGGTTTTAGCATTTTCTACAATTAGGGTTTGATCAGTTGGCCCAGAGTACTCTTAAGGAATGGCTATCCTCCTTAGCCATGCTGTTCCAGCAGCATTTGCATCCTTCATAAAGGCTTTTTGTTTTGTTGCAAGCAGGCTCCCTTTGAACCTTGCTAGGATAACTTTACTGGATTTTATGTGCAAGGTAATTTTCCTTGTTGCCATCACATCTGCTAGGAGGGTTTCAGAACTGACTGTTTTCATGCAAAGCTTGTGCATAGGATGATGTTGTTCTAAAAGACTAATTTGATTCCCCTTTGCCTAAGTTGGTGTTCTTTTGATATTGACAGTTTTTTTGCTTTCCTTTTGCCTAGCTCCAAAATACCCCAAGGGTGTGACAACTGTTTTTTGGGATGTGCTTGGGGCTCAGTTTCTTTTGGTTACAACTTCCAACAATCTAATTCACCCACAAGTGGTAGCACAAGATGCAGGGAGCCCCCTGCAGCAGTGAAGTGCAGTGTGTTATGTGCTGGGTGAGGCATCCCCCAGCCTGCCAAAGCTCCACCCCAACCCACCAAAGCCCTACCCCCCCCCCACCCCAGTAACCAAGCTTGATGGGGAGGGGCCTCCCTGTCCCTCACTTGCTCATCACTGGTGAGGCATCGATCGGGTTGTTTTTTGACTAGACAGCTTGGACCAATGGTGCTTTGCCATTGGTACAAGCCATCCACAGAGCTCACGCATCAAACACAAAATGGAGGCTGTGACAGCTCTTGCCTCACCAAGTTGGGTTACACAAGCAGTGGGAAAGCTTGCTGCTGTGTTGCCCAACTACCTCTCAAAAGCTGGATGCAGCACTGCCTCTCTAGCTCTCCTTCCATGACAGGCTTTGTCTGCTGTCTAACCTGGTTCAAGCTGATCTGAATGCAGAAAAAGCTGTCACCTTCAGACTTGAAGCTGACAGCTTTTTCCTGCATAATACTAGCTGAGGCTCTGCCTCCCCTGACCGCACGTCCCTACCCTGCAGGTTTCTTCAGGAATGACAAATAATAAGATAGGTCATCATGCATGCTTAGTCATAGGTATGACTCCTTTCTCTTAGGGTACACTTTGCTAGTGCCTCTTGTCCTGTCAGGCATATAGGTTGCAGGGACACCACCTGGTCTGTTCACACATTCTCGCAAGTTAGCGTCCTCCTGTTACCCTAAGGAGAACTATGGGGAAAAACACTGACCCCATAGTTCTCTAATAATTTTTAACTTGCCTTTTAAAATTAGTACAGGGCACAGTACCCTCACATTCACGGGTTTGGGCAGTGTCCAATCACTTGACAATACTTGCATATATCCCAGGCTCTGAATCTCTGTGCCCTGTACTGTACTCCAGGAAATGGTAAGATGGATTTTATGAACATGATTGGATGATACAAGTTGAAGCTCTGCCGACTTCCAATAGGAGGAAAGGTCCCATGCAAATTACCTTGCAAAGGTATCGGCCCAATTGCCTTTAGGAAATCAACTCCAGTGTCATAGGCAAAGTCATAGAAACTATGATGGGAAGAGTTAAGGCAAGTGTCGGGTTATAGGTAGTGATGGGAAGTGTCATAATTTTGTAGCCAGTGGAAGTGACATTGTGATAGACAGATTGGAAATATCCTATAAAGGTCATAGGAAGTGCCATAGTTAGGAAGAGCACTAGGCAGTGACAAATTGGGCAGAGTTGGTGCCACAGAGGTGAATTCAAGACTGGAGCAGCTGTGCATTACAACCAGCTTCTAGCTTTTTATCTGCAAAGTTTAACTGAACAATCTAGGGCTAGAAGCTGATTGGCTATAATACACAGCTGTTTTATGTTCCAGTTTTAGTAAATGCCACCCAGTGTCATAGGCAGTGTCCTAAAAGGTGTCTTCTGTCATTGGTAGAGCCATAGGCAGAGTTATTGTCATGTGGTGTCATATTGGTATGGGCAGTTAATGTCAGGGGAACTGTCATGGGCACTTCCTTTGACAAGTCTGACACTGCCCATCACTCTGCCAACAATATGTTTTATGGCCTGTATTTGACACTGACTCTGCCATTGATGGTTCCTATGGCCTTCCTCTGAAAATATGACCATTACTATAGCTCTGCCTATGACATTAAGACTGCCTTTGGCTCTTTGCTCCTTTTTATTGTGAAATAGGCTGCCTTAATGTGCCATGCATTGGCTATATCGCAATTTAGCACACTACAAAAATATACATGTGACTGGGTACTGTAAATGTTGCCTGAATTAGGTTGTTTTGGCAGCCCATATAAAATTAATTTAATTGTGCAATGCACCTAAGGCATGTGCAATAATGCACCAATAGAGTGTGCAAACATTGTGTCGTGGGGTGTTAGTATTTTGTAAGCTTTGTAACTATATATCTATATATATATATATGTTTTGCTGTCACTAGGGGATAAAATCCCAGGTGAGAGGTCTTCTCCAATGAGAGTTTGATGTAATTAACAGCAACTATCTCCACTTTGTGCTGGAGAATGTCCTTGCTTTGAGTCCTCAGTCTCATTTTTCCCTAGTGACAGGTCCTCTTTAATGAGACATCAGGGGACCAAGATATGGCTGCTCAGGGCCGATAGCTTTAATTTTGGGGAACAGAGGAGGGGGTGGGCACAACTGGCCTCTAGATAGGCAGAGCTAGCTGTCACTCATGCAGCTGGGTGGATCCATACAGTATTGTCAGGATCCATCCCGGCTGCAGGGGGATATCACGGGCAATAGCCTGCTATATACTGAGCTTTGGGTCATAGCAGGAGGTTAGTATATATCCTCCCGTGACCCTAAAAAGAACTATGGGGAAAAACACTTACCCCATAGTTCTCTTAGGCTCTGACCACAGCGGCTTAACCCTTCCAGAGAGCTTCTCCTCTGTCCTGTAGGTGAACAGAAGGGTGGGGCACTGGAGGGAAGGTGACTAAGTGTAATGGGGAGATGAACCAATAGGGTGAAGATGAGCTAGCCTGGAGGGGACCAAGTACCATCTAGTGAGAGACCTAAATGCAGTTTCCAATGTTATGTTAATAGGGCAGGTAGCCATTATAGTAAACATTTGTTGCTAATCAGCAGGTGGTTTGGCCACACAGAACTCTTTCCCATTTAGAAATG